TACTATTGCGGAACTACCAATTAGAGCTTCCGAAAGTATCCGGTCGCTAGCGCGGCGCTGGCCTCACCTCCACGATCTGCCGTTCGAGGATGTTCCGGACACCCGAGTGGACATACTGCTCTCATTGGAGACGATCTGGAAAGGATTTACAATCACGGGTTCGGGCGAAAGAGCAGATGACCGGGTATCCATGCGAGAGAAGAGCGAGCAGCCATGACTGTCGTCAGCGAAACGACACAACACAACGGAATCCAACTCGACGTGCCGTTACCCTGGCAAACGGGATCCAAGTGACTGCCAGAAAATCGAGAAATAGCACGACACAGGTTAAACTACCTGAAGGGTCGAATAAAGAAGAACGACCAGCTGAAGGAAGCCTCCTGTAACGCCATGAAACGCAATCTAGAGTTGATACATATCGAACGGGCAATGAGAAAAATCGAGAAGGAGCAACCATTGTGGGACATTCCGCACCACCCTGTCATGAACACCAGGAAAAATCATTCATGAGATTAGAGGCAAACATTGCGCTAAAAGATTCCGCAATTGTCTTAGGTGTGTTTAAGACAGTACTGTCTTTTAAAATAACTCGGGGTACTTGACCTTCGATAGTTGCTATAGAGATGACCTTTGCGCACTAAGGTTACTAGATTTGGTGAGTTGACCGCTGACTATGATCTTGACCTGTCAGAGTTACTAAATTTAGCGACAGTTGTACCAAACCTTGGTTAATGGCATGAAATTGTTTTGTACTTGAGAATAAATTTGAAGGTTCTTTTGTGCATGGTATTTGGGTTTCTGATCATGGGCCGGTGGGCATTGAACCGGTCAAACTCCTCTTCTGTTTCGTGGATAAGTTGGAGACCTTGCGCCTCAGCAGACTGTAAACTGGGTCCAGTTCTATGTGCCTATTGATCGAGTTTGTTGATGAATGCCATCCTTCCAGGAATTCTCTTGAATGCTTTGTGCTCGCGCGATCCAGAATTTAAAAGTTGTCCAGATTGAACGTGTCGTTCTTGGTCCTCATGCACGGACATCAATGAAAGAGGTTTGTGTATTCTTATCGCAAGTTTGTGTTCATGAATTCTTGTAGCAAACTTTCTTCCAGTTTGTCCAATGTAACATTTGCAACAATTGTTGCATTTGTTTTGTAGATGACATTTTTTCGCTCGTCCTTTTTGATTTGTCCCTTCGGCCTTGAAATGTTTCTTCTCATAGTTTTTGTAGGCTTGTGGGCAATTATAATGCCTTGTGGTTTGAGCATTCTTGTGGCCGTTTCCGAGATATTCTTAACGTATGGAAGTACTATTTTCTTGTCGTATTGTGTTCGTTGACTTGGCTCTCTTTGTGTTCTGTACAAGATTCTGCGTATGAAGTTTCTTGGGTATCCGTTTCGTTGGAGTAATTTGAAGAGATAATTCTATTCTTGTTCTCTTAGTTCCGTTGTGCTGCACTGTGTTCTGCCTCTCCTCAAAACAGTTCGCACGCAGGAGGACTTGTGAATATTTGGATGGTTGCATTGAAAGTTCAGTACTTGGTTTGTATAGGTTTGTTTTCGATACACCGATATCTCCAGTGTTCAGTTATCGGTTCTGCTCACCAGTACATCGAGGAATGACAATTTCTTGTCTTTTTCTTCTTCCATAGTAAACTCTATGCCGTTGAACATGGTGTTGACCGTTGTTTGTGCCTCTTCGATCTTCGATTGTTTAATGATAACGGAAGTATCATCAACATATCGGACCCCAAGTTTCGGTCGAATCCTTGGTAACGCAATATTTTCAAACTCTTGCATCACAGCTTCTGCAAGCAATCTGGATATAGGTGATACCATCGGTGTTCCTTTAATTTGCTGAAATAGTTTGCCGTTAAAATCGAAGTATGTGCAAAGACACAAATCCATCAGTTCGCAAATGGTTTCAATTCTCACTGAATTATCCGGGTATTGCTCTCGAAGGAGCTTTTCCAGTATTTCTTCGACCAAATTCAAATCAATTGAATTGAATAGCGCTTTGATATCAAACGAGAGCATGACTTCATCTCCCTCCAATTTGATGTTCTGCAATTTGTCCAGAAATTGCCGGGTGTTAGTTATGGAATGTTCCGATCCACTTATGAGCGGTTTTAAATATTTCTACAGTTCTTTTGCCAAATTATATGTTGGGGTTCCCGGCAAGGATACAATCGGTCTCAGTGGGATACCTTCCTCGTGAACTTTTGGCAATCCGTAGCATTGTGCAATGTTTGTCACAACCGCTCGCAATTTCCAGTGTTCCACTAGGTATATCCGTTACAATTCTTGTAAGTTCTTCAGAGTTTCAGTGTCAGTTTAAAGCCATTAACCAATGGAAAAGGTTTGGTACAACTGCCGCTAAATTTAGTAACTCTGACAGGTCAAGATCATAGTCATAGGTCAAATCACCAAATCTAGTACCCTTAGTGCGCAAAGGTCAACTCTATAGCAACTATCAAAGGTCAAATAACCAAATTAAGTACCGTCTTCAAGGTAAACTGCGAAAACAATTCTCAAGGTAGGATAGGAATACTATAAATAAAGACAAGTACAGGTATCATTACCAACGCACTGACAATGTCACCTCGGCGGGTGATGAAACGTTTGCGACCTAAACGCCAAGCTCAGCGAACACAAAACCCCACAAACCACAAAAAAAATCAGAAGCTGCGGGTTGTCTTCGATTGTGCTGCCAAGTGTGCCGGGATTGCCCTAAATGATCGTATACTACAAGACCCAGACCTGACTACTCCGCTGATTGAGGTGCAGTGCAGACTTCGGCTGGGGTCAGTTGCAGTAGCGGCCAATATCGAGGAGATGTTCATGCAGGTCAATGTCCACGAAGGGCAAAGGGATGCTCTACGGTTCTGGTGGTGGCCGGATGGAGGCATAGACGGACCTGCCCAAGAGTATCGGATCACGGTGCACCCGTTTGGAGAGTGATATCTTCTCCCTTCTGTGCAAATTTCGCGTTAAAAACGACCGTGAACAAGTTTGCTCAGCATTTCAAAACCCCGGTGGGCTCGTGTGTTGAACATAACTTTCATGTGGACGACTTCCTGGGATCCTTTGACAGCATCGAGGAAGCAGTTCGACACATTAGGGATCTATCCAAGCTAATGCTCATGGGAGGGTTCAAGTTGACCAAGTGGATGTCCAACAGTTGTCGTGCAGTCGATTGCATCCCAGTTGATGAGCGGGCGTCGAGTCTCCGTGAATTGCAGGGTAGTCCGTTACCAACAGATAGAGCACTTGGTGTGCAATGGGACTCGGAGAAAGGCGAATTCTTGTTCCAACTCCAGTTATCTGAGACGACAGCGACTCGCAGAGGAGTTCTGTCTTAGTTGGCCAGCCTTTACGATCCAATGGGTTCGTCGCACTGTGGCTACTACCGGGCAAGATTCTGCTGCAGGACCTGTGTAGAAAAAGGTCACTTGGGATGAGACCCTATGCAAGGCGGATCACAAGACCTGGCAAGGCTGGTGGCTGAGCCTATCCAAGCTGGGCGACACACGACTCCCTCGTTTCATACCAGGAATGCACAAAGGAGAAAAAAGTGAGTTACATGTTTTTTCGGACGCGTCGGAGGTGGGATACGGGGTGGTGACCTACGGTTGCTCGTCTCGGCCAGGAGGAAGAAGGCATAGCAATATTCTGTTCGCAAAGGCCAGGGTTGCCCCTCTGAAGGCAGTCTCAATACCCAGGCTAGAACTGGCCGCAGCAGGATTAGCCGTGAGGGTAGCGAAGGTGATCAAAAGATGTTTCAACTCGATCGAATGCACCGTAACTTACTGGACCGCTATAGTTCTTCACTATGTTAACAATGTACGGACGCACTTCAGCACGTTTGTTGCCAACCGGTTCGCTGTCCTTCACGAAGAAACGGAGGTGTGCCAATGGCGGCACATAAAATCCTGTGATAACCCAGCCAACTACTGCTCCAGGGGTGTGTTGAACTTGGAAAAATAAAATCATGGTTACATGGGCCGGCCTTCTTGACAGACCAGCTCAGCGAATGGCCCGACATTCAGATTTCCCCTGTCGCAATGGAGTTACTAGAGACGAAGAGGATCGTTACATTGGTCGCTGCTTCAACCAACATCTTACCGCAGAAATTGCGTCGTTTTTGACGATAAACGAAGGTGCTGAGGGTGGTTGTCTGGTGGACCAGATTCAAACGACAACTCGCTATTATG